AGGGATCCCACACAGGATTGAGGGACGGGGAGCTGCCGAGCGGGGCACCCTGGGGGCTCCCGTTGGACCCAGCAGTGCGTCCTGCAGAGGCCCCCTCCCAGGCTCGGGGAGTGAGCACAGTTAACTGGGTGTTAAGTGTCCACAATTAAAGTGGTAACAGAAAGGGTTTTATGTTCATGAGACCATTCACTTACCTGCCGTGGACACGCCAGAATTTTCCTTCATGGATAGTTAGGATGTGTTTGTTCTGTTTTCAAGAGTAAAGTAATAGAGTTAATGTGACTATCATGTCATTATTTCTGAGCTAGAAATACTTTGCGAACTATACCTCGTTTATTGACTTGAACTTGCGGGAAGGGATGCCTGGCTTCTCTGCGTAACTCTCTCTTGTGTCTGCCGAGGTTCAAGTGCCTTTAATTTACCCAGAAGAATCAGGGTGCCAGGGCGGCGCATACTGGGGTGATGTGCTCTGAACCCTCGTGTTTGTCGCACTGACGTATGATGTACAGTAGAAATCAGTGTGGATGTTAAGCTTGTAATTCCCTGTCTCCTCGGTGCTGCAGAGATGACCACTCCGGTCAGGACACCTGGAAACAGGCCCGTCTGTGGGACACGGCGGAGGCAGAGGGGCTCCCTGGCTGACAGGGGCTGTAACCTCTGTCGGGAAGGCTTTTCGGGGAGTTCTGGGTACTGACTGAAAGCACGCTGTCGTCCTAACTCTGGTGATGAAACCCTCATCTCTCGGGGCTGTTCGGACTTAGGGCGCCGGTTGGAATGCCCAGGCTGAGGGAACCGGGATTCTGGGAGGACCGTCCAGAGAGATGATCCTCAGGCGTATGAAACTGCTCGGGATTGTATCCTGGAAGACGGGAGTTAGTGGCACTTGATTTGCGAGCTGACTGCTGCCCGCGCTCCTCTCGGCTGGAGAACCCCCGGGGTCAGGACCCAGCACGCTCGGGAGCCTGCGGTCTCTCGTCGCTCGTCGCGTGTCGGGATCGATTTTCTCCAGAATCCCACAGGCCGTTTGACAAAGAACGTGATAGGACTGTGGCAAATGCGAGGGAGAGAAAATCTCAAATCACGGACGTGAACAGGAAGATAGGGAGACAGTCAAGTCTGCCGGCTCCCAAGGCCACCTCGGTGTCCTGTGTGGAAGGCCCTCCGCCCAGGGACGCCGCAGCAGCCGGACGGGTAGGAGACACCTTCCGAGGAGGCCGGCTCCGCCAGCCTGCAGAGCTGCGTCCGACCCGGAGCCGGCTGCTCCTTCTCACCCTGCTGCAGAGGTCACTCCCAGCTGGACTCCTCCTTCCCGAGACCCACTGCCCCGTCCTGTCGTATCCGGCGGCGCCAGGATAACCCTCTTGCCCGTTAGGCAATAAGATAAAAATTGCTCTCAACCTTGCGTGGCCTTGCTGCTCCTATAAACACACATTGGAGTTCGTTTTTCATGTGCCAGAATCTTCTGCATTTCACGTCGCTGCCCTTAGTGTGAGGGAAGGTACTCGGGATGGTTCGTCCTACGTTCCCCCGTGAAATCCCTGTGCAGGAAATAGAGGTGGGGACCCAGGAAAACGTAACTGAACACAAGGACCCACCTGATCACCGTACTTATTCATTCAGAACATAAGTACTGAGCGCTGACTCTGGGGCCTCGCTCCGCACGGTCGGCGGAGATGTAAACAGGGAAGAAGCAGCCGCTGTTCTAAGGAGCGTGTGCTCTGGTGGGAGCAGACAGCGAGCACGCAGGCAGAACACGGAGCGCATGCAGGGCTGTGGAGGGAGGCGGGCAGGGCGGGCGACGGGGGAGAGGTGTTGGTCAGGGGGTGTGGCTGTGTCTCCCAGGAGAAGACAGCGACCCCTGAGGGGGACTGCCCTGGGTCACTGTCACCATAGGCCTCCTCCTATGGTGTGGCAGGTAGCACGTGCTGGGGGTGGATGGGCTGGTGTAGACGGATCCCTCCCCTCACCTGGTCTGCCCCGCCCTCTTGCTCGCTCTGCGCGGTGTTGTTTACCGCCATCCGTGCGTGCGTTCCTTATGGCTGCCCGACTCGCTGGATGTGACTGCACCGGGGCACGGAGCCGTGTCCGTTTCGTTCCCGGGTGTATCTCAAGTGCCTGCAACACGGTCGTGGTATTTAATAAGTGTTTGGTGAACGAATGAATTTTCACGAGTGAAGTTTCGCTAAGAGGAAACAATGAAGGCACCGACTCATGGCCTAAGGGTTCTGTTGGCCACTTTTGGCGAAACAGCCGTCCCTGCTAACAACACGCGTTCTGGTCGCTGCCCACAAACCCACGACCTGTGCAGTCATGAACCCCGTGGAGTGAAACGGTGCCTGATCCGTGGAGACGACTGACTGTCACTTGTCCCCGCCAACGGCACGGCCTCTGTGCTCAGGACCTTATAGAGGGGCCCAGCCCGCAGAGCTGTGCCGTCCCTCGTGTTTCGACAGTGAGAGCAGGTGGCCCGGCCGGTCCTGGAGACGGGCCTGGCAGGCCCGCGGTGGCCGTCTCCCTGCCTGCAGGGCACCGACAGCTCGTGTCTGCTGAGTGAAACGTTTGTGTCCCTCCTCAGCCCAGGAGCCGCGTCCCAGGTTATTTCCGGCAGAGCCACCCGGATCCTTTATCAAGTGGGAGGTTTCTTCTGCCTCCACCGGGGGGCCAGGGCTTTGGGGGGGCATTTACGAGGAAAGGCCTGCAGGGTCCTGGACCCTCCGCTGAGCCCCTCCGGCACAGGGGGACCCTGAGGACGCTGCCGGGGTCCCAGGCAGGGATCGGAGTGGAGGGCTCGGCACTGCCCTGGACAGGACGCCGGCCACGTCGGGCAGCCGTTCCGAACGCCCTTGTTCGTTATTTACGCAGGACGGTTACAGTAGATTCCACTCCGTGGGCCAGACGGGGTCTCCTAAATCCCTGCCTGCCAGCCCGCACAGCGACCCGCAGTGAGCCCCACGTCCAGTAGGGAAGTGCAGGCTTCTTGATGTCGTGACAAAGCTACGCCGCTTGCGGAGAACACGCAACCACACCGTGGCACACGGCACGTGTGAGTTAATGTCCGTCACCCGAATCCGCCTCTTTGCCCCTCCCCTGCCCTGCTTGGGGCGTCTAGAAGGTTCTGTATTTCACGAGCCGCTTGCAACGTCTGCTCCACGCTGTGCCTAGTTCTGTGCGGTGAGCGACGGACAGGGCTTATGGTGCCGGGAAGTGGAAGAGACTCTCTAAGGTTTCCTTCTGTGTGGGACGTAGGGGTAAACCAGGATTTAAGTCCCCGAGAACGTCACGTTCATGTCACCCTGCAACGCTGCTCAACGCGGCCTCCCGACTGCGTTCCCTCAGAACTCTCCTGAACGTGACGGTGACGCGAGTGTGGGACGGCGCCCCTGGGAGTCACTCATTCGGCTGCACCCTCGGAAGAGGGGGTGCCGACCGCAGGCCTGGGGATGCGAGGGCCCTGAAAGCCACCGCTGGGGAAACACACGCTCGGGACACGGCCTTGATCCTGAGGATGGGGAGGCACATTCTAAAGGGAGACGCTTTGCGTGAGCGTTTAGTCGCTTGGCCCGTTTTAGTTAGTAGCTCAGTCGCCGTCTAGACTCGTTGCTGGTTTCCACAGACTGGGCGGCAGCCCTGGGATCGTGACCCGAGGGGGCCGAGGTGTCGGCTGCCGGACCACACGTCACAGCTCCCGCTCTGTGACTTTCCCGTGGCCTCTGTACCGGGAGAAGGCCCGAGACAGCAAGCCCCAGGCCCCGGGAACACGCCCGCCCGCCCGCACACTAGGTCGCAGCCGCTCCAGGTGGGTCCACATGGTCCCCTGCTGCCCAGGCTGCCGACTCCCAGAGACCACCTCCCCCACTCAGTGGCCGGGTGGAGACAGCTCCTGGGAAAATCCACGTCATTTACCACGTGGTTCGCGATCACACCGCCACTGGCAAAGATTTTTGTTTGTCAAGACGAGTAAATATGACCTCAAAGCCACGCCGAATCTGCTAGTGCCACAAAGTAAATCATTTTAATAATTAAGATGCATAAATAAGGTGTTGATGATAGAAACAACAAAGGTGTGTCGCTAACAAAGGTGTGTCTCAGCTCTGCCAAACACCAGCTTTCCCAGCGACGGAAGGGACGTATCCATCTTGGTACATCCGAGCAACGGCTGGGCGGTGCCGAGCGTCATTTCTCTGCACGGCCCTCTTCGTAGTCAACGGATTCACACGGCGTTACAGCAAGTTGTAGTGGCAGTGCTTGGTGATCTTGAAGATAGGCACGAAGATTCTTCTAACGGTATGTCAAAAATTAAATAATTGAAAGTCATTTGTATGGTATTTTATGAAAACAAAGTAATTAGTATTCTTCTGTAAGAATAAATTACGTGCCTCGTGCTGACGTGTCCCAGGGAAGTGGCTGGCGCACAGCGGCCCGGGCGCTTGGGTGTCGTGCTCAGACCCCCTCCCCCGCCCCTCCGGGTGATGACAGGCGGCTGCCCCGTGGGAAGAAATCGGCTGGCTGTCCCAGGACAGGAAAGGCCACGGGAAGTAGCGCTCAGTCACAAAGCCACGTGCCACGTGATAAACATTCAAAAATCGAGTAAGAAAATAGGTGTCTGAGCCCCGAGAGGTGACTCAGCCTCCCACCGTCCTGTCAAAGGGAGTTTTCTCCAGGCGCCCGTCCGCTGGGCCAGGACACAGCTGCTGTGCACGGGTTGGTGGCCCTGCTAGAGTGTAAAGCTCGGTGTTGGCATGACGGACGCACAGAGGGACTCGCTGGGACCACGACCGCCTTTAGTGAAGGAGCGGGGGAGCAGACATCCCCACGTCTCCTAGGGGTGGCTCAGGAGCAGCCCCTCTGGCACCGAGCAGAGGGCCCCAGGTGGCAGCCAGGGGCCCACACGCCCGGTAGCCCGGCATGGACACGGGTCTGACGCGGAGGCAGTGAGTGTGGGGCCACGTTTGTCGTCTGTGGCACAGGGGACGGACTGAGGGCTGGTTACCGGGAGCAGCTGGGGTCACCCCCAAGGAGCTCCCGGACTGCACTGGGGACCCCCGTCTGTTTCCTGTGGTCTCTTCTTCGTCTTCCTGTTCTTCTGCTTTCCCTCCGCCTTATTTTTGTGTGGCTTCTTTTTCTCGCTTTCCTCCTTGTACCAGGGCCCCCAGACACCCCCGTTGAGCTGCGGGTTGCTTCTGGGGTCCCCGGGGGGGTACCTGACAGGCACCGCGGTTTTGTTGAACTGTGACAGCCGGCGGAGCAGCTGCCTCACGACGCCGGGGTACCTGCCGGACAGGTCCACTCGCTCGTAGGGGTCGGCCGTGATGTTGAAAAGCCACACGCTCTTGCCGGCGGACAGGGTGACCCTCTCGTGGTGCCACCGGGTGGGGCCCAGGTTGCTGAAGGCCTGCGGGGGGACCCAGTCGCTGTAGCCGGGGCTCCCCGTGAGCAGCTTCCAGTGCCGCACCCGGATGGCGGACTGGACGGCCGTGTTCCAGATGCCGTAGCCCGCCGCCCAGGAGCCGTGCCTCGCCTTGGTGTAGATGGGGTCGATGTTGTGCAGGATGTCCACCCGGGGCGAGCGCAGGCCCTCGCTGATGGCCTCCCAGACGTCGTAGCCGTCCAGGTGCGCGTCCTCGTCGATGTGCCCCTCGGCCAGGGCCACCAGGGTGGGGTACCAGTCGGTGATGTGCACCAGCTCTCGGCACACGGAGCCCCGCAGGGTCAGCAGGGGGCTGTGCACGAAGCCCAGCGCCCGGATGCCCCCCTCCCAGTACGTCCCCTTGCTGCCCCTCAGGGGCCAGTTGCTCCCTCCGGCGGTGGGCTGGCCGCCGTTGTCTGAGGAGTAGATGATGATGCTGTTGTTGTAGAAGCCGTGGGCCTGCAGGGCCAGGGTCACGTTGCTGACCGCCTCGTCCAGGCAGGAGAGCATGGCCGCGTACCTGCGCCGGTGGGTGTTGACGATGGACCTGTAGTGTCGGAAGTACCTGCCGGGGGCCTGCAGCGGGGAATGCACAGCCTGGTAGGCGATATACAGGAACAGGGGCTTCCGGGGGTCGTGGGCGGCCAGGATGCGCTGCACTCTCTGCGTGTACATCTGAGTGGAGTACACGCCGCCGCCGTGGTCCCAGGCCGCGCGGTCGTTCTCGTATAGGTCGTAGCCACACATCCCGGGCCCGTCACACTTGTAGTGAGTGTAGTAGTCGCCGCTCCCCAAGAGGGAGCCGAAGAAGGTGTCGAAGCCCCGGTGGGTGGGCAGGCACTCCCTCCGGTAGAAGCCCAGATGCCACTTGCCCACCATGTGCGTGGCGTAGCCCGCCTCCTTCAGCTTCTGGGGCAGCGTGGGGCTGTCCAGGGGCAGGCAGTTGGGCTGGGCCGGCCGTATGATGGAGTGCTGCAGCCCGGTGTGTATCTGATACCTCGGCAGAAGAGCAAAGAGCTGGTCAGCGCAGGGGACACTCCACAGAGCAGCCCCTACCGGGCTCCAGGGAGGGGAGGCCTCCCCCAGGCCCAGCAGGACCGGTTCCGCGGGTCTGTGCTCGCAGCACCCACTTAGCTTGCTTGGCCTTGGAAATGCCACTGAGATCTCACTGCTGATCACAAGTGTTTTTCAAGTTCTTGCCACAGAGTTCATCTGAACGACCGTTAGTCTTTTAATTAGTGACAGAGCACAGAACACTAACCTGGTAGAGGAAATGATGACTCTGCGAGGATTAGCGTTATTTTAAAAACTATTGTGTGATTCTCTTTTATTTAGGGAACTCACAGTAGCTCCTAAATCATTTCCTGAGATAATTTATTTCAAGCTAATTCTGAAGTACTAAAACACATGCAAAATGATACAAACGTCTTCTAAATGCCTGTCAGAAATATTTTATAATGAGCCCTCAGCCCGTGAGATCTGCCAGGAGGGGAAGAAGGTTTCTGACTCACATTATAGTTGAAAAACCGTTATTTTACTTTAACTTTTTAGGTTTTCAGTCGCAGTTGACATTCAGATGAGGTCTGGGCACAGGGTGTAGGGGGAGGGTTTCAGGGTGCAGTGTAGCTGGTGCTGAGGAAGGGGTACACCCCAGCTGAGAAAGGGGGTGTTTCCCGCAGTGTCTGCTTTAGAAAGTGATGCTCACAGGGTAGCTGGAGAAACACAGCGACCGTCTCTGTGCGTCGGAGCAGGTGGATGCGAGTCCCCAGGGTCGGTCTGTGGCCACTCTGCCGTGGCCTCTCCCGAGAATGGTTACTATCACATCACTGAATGCGTCTTCGATCTGGGTCAAGATGTGCCTATTAGTTCACAGTTTTTTTTTAATTTAAATCCTCACCTGAGGAAATTTTTTCATTTATCATCAGATAGAGTAGGAGAGAGAGAGAAGCATTGATGTGAGAGAGACACATCGACTGGTTGCCTCCTGCACGACCCGACCAGGGTTGGGGAAGAACCGCAACCGAGGTCCATGCCCTTGACCAGAATCAAACCCACGACTCACTGGTCCACAGGCCGATGCTCTAACCACGGAGCCAAACTGGCCAGGGCAGTTTATGGCATTTTCAAAGCTATTGATTCTGCCCTGACTTGTGTGGCTTGGTGGGTTGGGCATTGTCTCATGTACCAGAAGGTCACGGGTTCGATTCCTGGTCAGAGCACACACCTAGGTCGCAGGTTTGATCCCCAGTCGGGGTGCCTAATGGAGGCAACTGATGAATGTGTCTCTCACACGGACGTGTCTCTCTCTCTTCCTCCATCTCTAAAACGAATAATAATAATAATAATAATAATAAAAGAGCTATTGATTCTGTAGTTACTATGTAAGTTCAAAAGGACTTTTAAACTAGAAAACACAGAAATTCTGAGTACATGAAGGTTCCAGACAGTGTTAGGGTAAATGTGAAAATATTCTTGGAGTCAAATTGCAGGGTAATGTAAGGTCCCAAACAAATCTTTTTCGAGTGGATTCATCTGAAGGCCAGTGTGTCAGAGGGCTCGGTGGGCTGGTTGATTTCCTTCCGAGCGTCCGGCTGACGGCAGGAGCCTCTGAGCTCCACAGTGTGGACACAGCAGCAGGGGCTGCCTCGAGGGGCTGTGGGGTGTCCGGGGCCCAGAGCAGCAGGTGGCGGGGGGGCTGTGGGGGTGTCTGGGCCCCGCCCGGAGCAGCCTCAGGTGGCCCGGCTTCTCGGCGGGTCTGTTGGCTCCAGGCCCCCGGTTACCCCCGTGGCGGGCGTTTTACAAACTCCCAAAGACACAGGCGCCGCAGCCCTTCTTAGCACCCAGTTCGGAAGATGTGCTTCTTGTGACTGATGAGCTGTATCCACTTCAGGACCCAAACCGTTCCCCGAAACCAGCAGTTTCACACGAGCACCCGGCAGGCTGGCCGTGCCTGTCAGTGCCGCATGTAGGAGTCACGAAGGGCAGCCTGTCGGGCGGCAGTGCTGGGAGGGTCCCTGCGTCCTGCAGAGGGACAGCGAGTGTGTCCACAGGGAACTTCCCGCGTCCTGATTTGCTCCCTCACCGTCCTGCCGTCGAGGCCTAGAGCGTCTGGAGGTCAGCGTGTCGGCGGCTCCTGCCCTGTGCAGTCTGGTGAGCAGGTGTCCTCCCCGCTCAGGGACTGTCCACGGACCTGCCCGCTTCACCCAGGGTCCCCCAGCCGTTCCCTCGCCACTCAGCCTGCTGTCCTTGTTTGTGTGTTTTCTCTATTGGTTTTAGAGAGAGGAAGGGGGAGGGAGAGGGAGACGGAAACATCGATGAGAGAGAACATCGATTGGCCGCCTCCTGCACGCCCCCCACTGGGGATCAGGCCCACAACCTGGGCATGTGCCCTGACCGGGACTCGAACCGGCGACCTCTTGGTGCAGGGTTGACGCTCAGCCACTGAGCCACACCGGCCAGGGTCCTCCTTTGTTTCAAAGGGTGGTCTCTTCTGTGAGCTTTGCTGAGACTTCCCCTGTGTGGTCAGGCCAACGAGACGTAGACGCCGTGTTTCCGGGCGTGGCTTGCTCGGCGACACGGAGGGGTTATAACGACCACTGATTCTGCGAACGGCCTGCTCAGTAAACCTGCCCCGTTGTCAAGCAGTTTCCCCGGGCTCCGCAATCAGTTCGCTGGTCTCGTTTCTCTAACTCAGACTTCCCTCCTTGACGCTGAGACCACACACTTCCGTGTTCTGAGTTCCAGCGTTCCAGGTCTTCAGTGGCTGGTCCTCAGCTCTTTGTCCCGGGAGCTGAAGTTCGAACTGTGGCCTGCGAGGCCCTCCCTTTGGTTCTCAGTCCGCTCCCTGTTCCATCAGCGCCTGACCCAGTCACCAGCTGCAGCCCAGGGTGGACGGGGCGAGGCCGTGCGGAGAGCAGTCACCAGAGGGCGACAGAGGGCTGAGAAATAGGTCCGGGCCCAGCCCCCTGTGAGGCCTGCGGAAGGCCCATCCCGGGAGAGGCCTGTCCCTGAGGCCTGGCCAGAACTTCCGCTTAGACACTGGCCACGGCCACGCAGGAAGCGGGACCTGGTCTCCACGGCCTGCTGGTCAGCGCTCTGGGGGAGGCCCACACCGTCAGGAACAGGCTGGCCCGGGAGTCTCTGACCCCCTGACAAGTTTGGGGTCAGATGGAGGCTGCGCAGCAAGAAGCTGTGTGACCTGACGACTCATGTACCTTTCCTGAGACTGTCACCTCCATGCAGAGACACTTGCTCAATTAGCTCACAAGTATTTTTCAAAACCACACATCTTTTTACCCCTGACAGGGTGGATGTGAGGGTGAAATGTCAGGTGTTTGAAGAGAGACGGGCACAATGGATGAGTTTCCTTCCTTCCGTGGTCGTCCGTGGGAGCCAGGGAGGGTGGTAGCTGAGGCTGCCCGGGAGGAGTCTGCATCCCAGAGGGTGAGGTGCTGGGAAGGTGGAGGGGCCGGGCTGAAAGGTCAGAGAGGGAGACTTCCCAGCAGAGTCCTGGGAGATGCCTTCTCAGCGACAGGGCCCCACGGGAGTTAGAAAGGTAATGGAACACGGCACCACGCTCTAGCACATCAAAGTGACACACAGAGGACACAGCATGGAGAGCAGGGCCGGACAAGGGCTGCAGGACAGTCGGGTCCCCTCTGATCTCTGGGAGGGAAGGGTGGTGGATGAACCTCAACCCCCTGCACCTGTGCACACTCTGCCTTCCACAGCCCTGCACCTGCGCGCACCCCGCCCTCCACGGCAGACTCACCTGCGCACACCCCGCCCTCCACAGCTCTGCACCTGCGCGCACCCCGCCCTCCACGGCAGACTCACCTGCGCACACCCCGCCCTCCACAGCTCTGCACCTGCGCACACCCCGCCCTCCACAGCTCTGCATCTGTGCACACCCCGCCCTCCACAGCCCTGCACCTGCGCGCACCCCGCCCTCCACGGCAGACTCACCTGCGCACACCCCGCCCTCCACGGCAGACTCACCTGCTCACACTCCACCCTCCACAACTCTACACCTGTGCACACTTTGTCTTCCACAGCAGACTCACCTGCGCACACTCCACCTTCCACAGCAGACTCACCTAGATGGGGATTCACTTCAAATGGTGTCTTTTTAAAAATATATTTAACACTAGATACCTTTATCCTGGGGCTGCCTGACACTCCTGGGAGAAAATCTGTAAGATCAGCAGGGAAGGGGCATGTCTGTGGATGGTCTTGTCTTCCAAGCCCTCCTTAGGGCAGTGGACCTGGGAGCCACCTCTCCACCTTCGTTCCTTTTCCAAAGTCACACTTGGGCTTGGAAAACTCCTTTTCCTATGGACTTTGAACTGTTACATTTACATTTATCTAAATGTTTATGTATTAACTGCATATTCCTGAATGTAACAAGTGAGCACTTAGTAACATATTTATGGAGTACTCTCCCTGGGGACCACTTACAACTAGGCCTGGGGCAGAGGGGACTGCAGAGGGAGCTGCAGGGTTGACATTGACCCCCTGCAGGGGGGAGGCCTGAGTGTGGGGGGGAGGTGTGGTGAGAGTCCACGTGCAGGGGGAGGTGTGGTGAGAGCCCACGTGCAGGGGGAGGTGTGGTGAGGGCCCACGTGCAGGGGTGAGGTGTGGTGAGGGCCCACGTGCGGGGAGGTGTGGTGAGAGCCCACGTGCAGGGGGAGGTGTGGTGAGAGCCCACGTGCAGGGGTGAGGTGTGGTGAGGGCCCACGTGCAGGGGTGAGGTGTGGTGAGGGCCCACGTGCAGGGGGAGGTGTGGTGAGAGCCCACGTGCAGGGGTGAGGTGTGGTGAGGGCCCACGTGCAGGGGGAGGTGTGGTGAGGGCCCACGTGCAGGGGTGAGGTGTGGTGAGGGCCCACGTGCAGGGAGAGGTGTGGTGAGGGCCCACGTGCAGGGAGAGGTGTGGTGAGAGCCCACGTGCAGGGAGAGGTGTGGTGAGGGCCCACGTGTGGGGAGGTGTGGTGAGGGCCC